TCACTATTTTTATTGTCATGGCTCACATATGCAATATTTTTACAGAATATATTTTTATCCACAGTTCTGTCCATCTCAGATTTTATCATAACACTATTGTCTTATCCTGCTCTTCTGGGTAAACTCTCCACTCCTTTATCTCCGAGTCCTCCCACTCAATAAACAGTAGTGACAAAGCCCGTGTGTCACTATCTGTGTTCATTCAGCCCTATGTCACCTTTCTGTGTGCAGCCAGAAGTACATCCACCAGCAAATGAAAGGCATTAAGAGCAGCCAATCAAGCTGACCTGTGACCACCGATCTGCATGGGCTCCCCGCGTAATAAAGGAGCCGGGGCCAGAGGCGGAGAGCCGGTATGAATATAAATGGGAGTGAATTTGAATAAAGGGACCACATCTGAATATGTTAGAGTGGGGACGTAGTATCAGAATGTTTGCATATTCAAAGCTCTGTGATGGATGGGGTGGGCAAAATGAAAAGATCAGAGGCAACACAACACTGCAAGTACTGGCGAGTAAAACATGGGCTAAAACAAGAATACAAGTGAAAGTGAAAGAGGCGACTGCTATTCAAACTCAAGACACTGGTGCATATCTCTTTCATTAAATCAATACGCTGTTGGTGGTTTCAGATGACATAATGTTCTACGGGTGTGTAGTTTTTAAATAGACACGGGTTAGGGCAACATTACATTATTATAAGCGACTATATTACACTGTTTATAAAGCTATGTTATAATGTTGTTTCCTCATCAAACACATAGCTGGAGTTGTTTTGTTTCATTCACACATGTTTAACATACAAATTCTGCATATTTAGGCTGAGTTCTTCTCAGAAAACACCGTTCCACCTTGTGATGTCATGTAGTAATACAGGAAGTGCTCCACTGTGTTTTTAAACTCTATACACCTTCACTAGAATATCTGTGAATCTCTACTGAACTAAAGAACTTGAAAATTGTACAGCTTCATGACATCACAAGGTGGAACAGAGCATTTTGAGCTTTGGAGATGTAGACAGACTAAAAATAAAGTATTACTCAAGCATGTGTGAATGACACAACTCCGGGGTTGTTTTTGATGAGGCAACAACATTACATGACTTAAAGCTCACAAGAGGAAATTTTGCGTAATATAGGATCTTTAGATGCATACTAACTAACTTTTCTGTTGGAGACTCCCCTTCCTGCTTGTCTCCATGAATATGTAATGGCTTTACCTAGAAAGTTCCCCAGTATGACATTTAACTTGCCTATTTCTGTGGAGACAAGCAGGTGACACCACTAGGTCAAGTTACAAACATGATTTGTGGAGAGGCGACCCAGTTCATAGTTTGAATGTTATTCCAGGTATTTTTGACCAATACGATACCCGCAATTGGATAAATGCGAAATAGTTAGGTTTAATGCCATATTGTGGGATATTCCAGGTAAAGCAATAACATTTCCATAGAAACAAGCAGGTGGCAGACCCCCCATCAGGGTGGTGTCATTCCAGATATAGTGGGATAAGGGATCTTTGCATTATATAAAGAACCAGACTCAGCATTTTTCACTGGATAAACGGAGGATATACTGAATTATTTAAATCAATAATATCATATTTTTTGGTGTGACTGTCTATGACAAAATACTGCTTTCAAAAGTGGGCCTTGCCTCCGATCAGATGCAAAACGTTGATGGGGAGTCCTCTCAAATGCAAAGCAGATTCAAAATTAGTTCAGCTGAGGTTGCCACAGAACCAGTGCATTGCTACTGGGTGACTTATCAGGGTGCCCGAATGATGTAATGCATAAACAAATACAGAAATGTACAAATTTGTAAATCTAACGCATCTACAAAATATTTCAGGAATCTAAACTGTGCAGCAAAGTGGAATGTAATATGGAAAGCTTTGAGAACTGACCCCTAAACTAGCGAGTTGTTTTTAGCACGTCTTTCCAAGTGTATTGTGCTGTTGGATGGATTGATTACTTTTCAAAGAATAGAAGTAGAGTTTGAAGAGAGGGGGGAGTGAAAAATGAAGGAAGATAATAGTGGAGTGGATGGGGGAGTGATAAATTGTGAAGATCCCCCTCGCTGAAGAAGGTAACGTCACTCTCATTATCGTCCATATATATATTTTTAAGAGTTTATTTTTGGTACATGTGATTGCAACTGGCTCTTACATGTTATACGGCGTGCACTGTAGCTAAGCCATCTGTGCATGTGTGTACCCTGGGCAAGCCTATTACTACTTGACATGCAAATCTCCTCCCTGACCTTCTTCTGTCTGTCAATCTGTGTGTCTATTTCCCGTTCACTCTAGTGGCAGTATACCTTATCTCGCATTCCTCCTTGCCAAGTTTCTAGTAGTCCTGGCTTATTTTCGCCTGTTCATTTGCTCTTTTCCGTCTCTAAGTATTGGACATTTCATAGCAGTTTCGTTCCAGTCTTGATTCGCTCCGGTGCAGCATTTCAGTAGCCCTTAACTCACACAGCCAAAAATAGCCCTGTAGTCTTTGCTATAGCTGGAAAGTGGGGCTGGCTTTGGTGGTGGTACAATCTTCATAGAGTTCAAAACCTGATTTAACTTTTTACTGCTTAACTATAGGCATAAGTATGTTTAAAAGTTTCTTGCCTTCATTCATACATGTTGTGATGATGTTCCTATTTTGAGCCTATTTTATTATATGCATTTTGCTCAAAACTCTCAGCTTTAATCTATGTTAGACTATTATTAAAGACTAAAATACAAGCTTTTATTTGAGACTGTGTAATCCCTCATTCGAGTGGTTCAGTGTAGAGAAGTTTCAGTGGTGGTCATCTGAACACTGTTTTTTGCAATCTATGTTGAGTTAATTTTTATTTCTAGTAAGAAGGAGCTGATTATTTGCAGGTGTGGATTATTTCCAGTCTTCAGTTTCATATCTATTAAGATGAGCCCCCGAAATTAGCATTTAAAGCACTGACACACAAAGATTCACCTTTGTAAACAGTGCTGTATTTACAGAGCCACCACAGATGTTGCTGCTTTAGTCTAAGACGCTCTATATTGCAGTCATTTATTAATATAGACGTTTGTGTATATCTGGGTGTGGTGGTTTTGATTTGATCACATTCATTAATAAAAGGCAATAATCTTTATCAGTTCAGAGAGTTCATACTTCACTATGATTGGTTAATTCCATCTGTCACTCACTCAGAGCCTTGACCAATGGGAGGAGTGGGTGGAGAAAAGTATATTTGACTTTGATCATAGAGCTGCATTAAACAGTGACACAGTTTATTTCAATGCAATAAGCAATCGTCACATGAATGAGATCATGGTTTTAGTCACAGTTTACAGTTTACTGTTGTGGCAAAACACTCATGGAGCTACAGATGATTATGGTGATAAAAATACACAGTTTACTTGCTCTTGTGCAATATGGCTTTAAGAGGAATTCATTAGAAAAAGTATATCACTGTACAATTACATAATAATTTGCTATTATTCACATTACACCTAACATCACATGCTTTTCCCACATAGCTTGTGCTTCGTCAGTATGTTCCAATGTGTGCCTCTGTGTGAATGATTAAACTGTAGCACGCTGCCAGTCAAGGTGACTGCTGAGCCGGAGCAAACTCTCTGACTTCAGCCCCCGTTTTTTTTTTTCCAGTAAAATGACATTTCCTTTACATATTTACCAAACTGTGTCACTTTGAACTTAACAGAGAAAGGACAAACTAAATAGATAAGACTGCATGCCTTGTAGAAAATTGTTAAATCAGGCATGTGTTTTTATCCAGTGAATTAGACCCAGACTTATAATATTCGCATACGCATTTTGTTGGGGTAACTTATTTTTAGCTCTGCACTGTGTTTTTAGATAATTGAATCCACTAAACCTGCTACTTACAATATGCACTCTGCCTTTGCTTTGCCATTTTCCTCTCCTCCACTGTCAAACACACACACTGATAACAGAGGCAATTTGTGCATGCAGAGAGCTGTTTTTGCCAGTGGCCGGTCAATGGTCATTGCTACAGAGGTGGCCACCCACACACACTAGGGCAGGTCTCCTTTTGTCATAGTAAACCACTGGCAGATTCCACACTATTTGATTTTGTGTATGTGTCTGTTTGTTTTCATGTGTGCCAGCCAATTACCTGCATACAAATTCAGGGCTTACTCAATCTTGCCATATCTATCTGCTATCTAAGTACTAGAATTGGTTGTTCTACTTAAAGGGCTTTTTTCTGATCTATGTTATGATGTGGTTTCATTATCAAAAACATACAAACCTGGAGTTGTGTTTTGTTTCATTCGCACAAAAGCTCTGCGTGTTTAGGCTTCTCTCAAACTCTTTTCCACCTTGTGATGTTTTTAAACTCTATACTTGACTAGAAAATACTGAACTAAAGGTAAAAGGTAGAAGTTAACCTGAAAATTAAAACTTCAAGACATCACAAGATCAAACAGAGCATTGTGAGCTTTGATTGAGTAAATTATTAATATTATTAAACATGTGAATGAAACAAAACACAATTCCAGGTATGTTTTTGAGAAGGCAACAACAACTCACAAGAGCCATGTATAATATGTATGTTATACATGTATAGGCCATGTATAATATGGAACCATTAACCATAATAGTGGGCTGTTCTGCATCAATATTTTTCTAGACAAATTGTGATGACTATAGTTGATTAGGCCCCCCACAGACCTCTTTAAATAGACTAATTAAAAAGCCTGCACTCATTCATAAGATGCTGTATTTTGATGTTGATATTTTACCAAAGCCAAAGCAAAGGAAAGGCATGTTTGCACCCACATTGCTGTTACTTTTCAGCATAGTAGCCAGTCTGTGACCTGCAGAGTTATCACTGAGACTCTGTATGCCCTCTTGTATGTTTTAAAAGAGTATCTTATAAGTCATTGAGTTAGATTTGTGATCGTTTCTGTCAGTCGCCAGAGGAAGTGGTGAGTGTGTTTCCTGCTCCGTCCCCCTTTCAAACACAAACCGTGTGGTGTGAATGCACTTGCAGTGAGAGGAGGGGAAAGCAGCGCTCCAGCGAAACAACCTCGGTCTGGCCAAATGCGAATGAAGAAAATGGCGATCATGCAGGACGAATGCCTCCCTTCGTAGATGCTGCAAACGCGTTCAAAAGTCTTTTAGCCTTACAGCCAGCTTTCGATTCCGCTCTGTTGCACTTTATACTTCAAAGAGGTGAGTTGGCTTTGCGCTGATTGATTGTAGAAATGTGAGTTACGATTGTCGCGTTTGTGTTCGGGCGTCTCGGCGCAGGAGACCGGGGACGGACAGCTTAACTCCCGTTGTTTAGCCACATCGAGACGGACCGCAAATAGTGCGCAGTCTCCATTAATGAAGATGTGGATCTATGCAAAGATAACACCAGCATTTAGCCTTTAGTTAGACTGACGCAAACCCGCACGCAGAGGGAAATAATGTGTTTATTGGTGACTAATCTTGTGCTAACGCCAACTGCAAGAACACTAGCTGCAAGTAACCTCCAGCTAACCAGCTGTGGCGGATTTTTGTTACCAGCGGGTACTGTGGTCCGCTGTCTTGAATTGCCATTGCATGTTTTACCCTGTATGCCTCAGTCTTGTCAGCTGCAGTATTTCTTTGCTTCATATCAAACCTGTTCTTAATGAGTTGTAGAAATCAGCAGTTGTGTAACTAGCTCTGTAACGCTAGCCTTGAGCTAATATTAGCAGTGATGCTAATTTGACTGCGCAGTTCAGCGGCGACAGCTTTCCTGCACTTACACGGTAAATATAAAGAATTTAAGAAAGCCAAATGTGCAGATGGATTAGACTGACTTATTAAAACAAATCTATCCGGTGTTAGACGTTTGGTGTGGATATTAAGTGGAGTTAAAAATGACAAGGGAGAGTTTAACGCCCTCTGTCGTCTCTGGGTGGTAATCTCTTAGTTACTTCGGTTTACCAAGTAGTGCCTTCAAAGTTTCTAACAGGGCAAATGATACGGGTTTTCTCCGGTTACTTTGCGCATTTCTCGCTTGATAAGAGCATGCAATTCGTATTTGATTAGCATCAGTAGAAATGATCAAGGATAAATCCAGGGAGATACGGAGAAGCCATGTTGGTTAAGCTGCAGGTCGGGCAACAGCTGAGATAATGGCCGATCAGGAGTGAGGCTGCCTCTGCTCTGGCTCTGGCTCTGACTCTGACCTGTGCCTGCTGCTCGGGTTGTGTCTTTATCGGCCTTTCTCACATTAACACTTCGTCAAGGCGCTCCGAAGGGCTTGAACTTCAGAGGACTGATAATGCACGTCTCTGTCAGCCCATACAACCTGCACTTCTACATACACCAGTCCAAATTCCTCTCATACACCTATTACTGGAAGTGCTTTTGAGAATTGACCTTGTATAAACTTTGAGGCAGGCAAACTGAATAAACCCTGCTCATTATTACCTGTTTTGATCTGTTCATCTTTATTGACAAGTCTTTAGTCGACTTCTTTAGTTGATTAGGGCCCAAAATTGTGCTTAAAAATCCATAAATCTGCATTAGTTATGATTTTACTTTAGCCTTGACTCAGTTTAGATTTAACATTTACATTTTAACTTCAAAATGTCTGTATTTAACTAGTAGAAGTCTGCAGATGATTAAACAATTGTGCAAGAAGAGCTCAGTTAAAATTAAAAACATTGGTTGTAAACTGTCATATAAGGGTATTAAAGTCATATATCTGCACTTTTGTGTCTAATTTAACATTACATCTAAAGATATGTTTCATGACATTTCTGTTGGATTGACACAATATTGCCTGAATCTTTATTATGATTCATTTTTTTGCCAATATCTCCTGCCTCTGTTACCTCTGAAGTTTTTATTCTCATGGTGAGGAATAATGAAATACACTTTTACAGTTGACCATCAACTAACTTTTGTGCCTTCTTTTCAGAGATTTGGAATTGAAAGCTGTTGCCACCAAAGAAACTAAAGCATCTTAACAGGTGAGTAATCGTACAAACAAAGACAAATTATCATTTTTCAGCCCATGATCAATACACATTTTTGCTACATGCTACAGGAACTGATGCAGTTTATTTTTTTTTCTAATTGAGAAACGTGTTTGTGTGTGTGACCTAGCGGGTTGTGGTTGGTTGTCCGTGGGTCAGGCAGACACAGGACAGGCCACTGTTTATGCTAGCACAGGCAGTTCCGTTTGAAGTGAATTGGAGGGTCTGGTTGGGCTCGCGTTGGTTGTGCTGAGTAAGCTGTGCTGTTTTAAAATGGCCAAATGAGACGCCGGTGTCCTCATGTTTTGTGTGTGCAGTGTTTGTGCAGCTCATTGTGTCCCATACAGTGGCTCTACATTCTACATGCGCACAGACAATGGAGCATCAGAGCGCAGGGCTTTCACTGGGGTCACATGCTTTACATGTTTAAGCTTTCCACAAAATAGCAACACATTACTTACTGAGTCCTGACTATGAGCACATTGTTGCTATTTTACTATTTACTTATAGATCAAATTAAATGTCTGTCAGTTGCTAGAATATTACATTTGTAATTGTGTCTCTATATCAACTTACAGCACAGTATGTATCTTTCTGGAGGTGGCACAGCTCCTGCATGATTCCATGAAAATAAAGTTAAAACCATACTATGGAAATACTCCATATAGAGTTATGTGTTTTATACAGTGCAGTGGAGTATTATAGTTAAAGGAACAACATTTCCATTGAAGCAAAGAGAAGGAGACCTTCCTCCAGGCCATAGGCCTCAGGATTTGTGGAGGTGCAATCCTGCTCTTGGTACCAACATGTTTTTGAACAAAATTAGTGTTTACTTTTTTTTTTTTAGTTACATCTTGTGCTTTTAAGGGAACACAATTTACTATTTTCTATCATATTCTAGACTGATGAGCATATTTATTTGGTAATTTCAACAGTAAAGCTATTGGTTATCCAAAAAATACTTAGATACTAAGCTTTACAAAAACCTAGTATTGAAAGATACTTGGATTGATCAGGTCTGGAAGATGTTATTATTTAGAGTAGACAATTACTTTATATTTTCTGAATTGTATTATCGTTATGGTATCAAAATTGTATTGAGCTTTTTCCTTCAAAATGGAATTTGAAACATTGGTATCATGACAACATTAATTCCCTAAAGTTTGAATAGTTGAATGGCAGAGTAACCTGTGTTATAAGAGGCACTCGTGCATGATCTGTGAGGAGGAAATGGTGCATGGGTTTGGATTGGGTTTAAAGATATTTCTCTATTTGCATGATTTTGGGTTGTCGTGGCACAGACATTTTCACATAGTATTTCACCTACAGATTAAATCATGCCTCCAGATCAGACTTTTATTGGAAATTATTTTATGATTTAATTTAAGAAATATTGGTATTTGCTGTCAAGGCCCACATAGCTACATGATGCACAACACCAAACTGAAAGTATTAAATTTGTTTATAAGGTGTGCTAAGCTGTTAGGCGACACCAGGCTGTGGGGCTGCAAAATGTAAGTAAAGTGTGCTATTGAAAATCTCAAAACAAACAAGAGCCCTGCTTCTGTCTTAAAATGGAAAAAGTAGTAGACATGACTAATAGTGGAATTAACTGTCCAGATTGGTGTTTTATCCACTTCACACAACTCCATATTTAGACTCGAGATATTTTAGGGTTGTATTCTCTTTTAAAGGCTGCACATGTACAGTCCGGTATGACAACGCCACGTAGGTATTATTGAGAACATTGGTTGGAATTCCAGAAGTGTAACAAATGCTGACACTAGTCGAGACTTGTCAAGTGTTAGACTCAAACCCAGCTAATATGGTTTGTTCAAAGCATATTTATTGAATGAAATAAACTAATTACTGCTTATTTAAGTGTAATATCTTCCTTGGAGTTAAAATTTTCCTTGTAACAGTAGGCTAAACATTGGACCACTGGCTCCAGATGATAAAGCAGTGAAATAAAGTTTGCTGTTCCTTTTGTTGCTGGTCCCTTTGCTCTTGTGACTCATGCCCCCCCTTTCTGTCAGCTGTAGCTGTCGGGGGATGGGTGAGTGTTGACCCATTCATAAACAGATGCTGTCCTCTGTGGATGTGTGCTCTCCAGGAGGCCCCATACTGTTGTTGTTGAACCCAGAGCCATCTGCTCAAGCACTTGATGGAGGAGGGTGGAGTGGTAAAAGTGTGAGGGGCCACCTGACTGGTGGTAGTGACACTACCTTTACCATTAACACTCATCAAGTTTAAAGGCACACAGACATCTGACCGCTTATCAACAAATTTTAAAAGGTCTTTGCCATCAGACAACTCTATCCTAATCCACATGCAGACCAAAGAAACAAATTGGTGCAAACTGGGGTTTACGAGACCTTCAGGGGCATCTGATAATTATGCATTATGGACCGCAACAGTCCCACATACTTCGAAGTCCGCTCCAGTACCGACAGTAAAATGTCCATACATTCTTCCAATAGACTTTTTTGAAAAATTTTAAGAATTTAAAGACATTACTGAGGCTAATCAGCTACTGATATCCAGATTGAACACGCGTTGTTTTAAGTTCAGAAAGCAAAACCCAGGATGCTCTATAACCTGCTAAGTTATTAAAACACTCTGAAGTTTCAGAAATGGATGTTTAGGGTTAGGTATACATAAAAGTATTGTGGTCAATAGTTACCACATAGTTACACTGAAGCAAGCTTTCATACTTTTAACATTGATTTTTGTTTTTTGAAAAGTCTGATAAAAATATACTTCTCAAACCGGGGGCAGTGCTCACTGTTGAGTCCCATAGCACTAATATGTTGCAGCTATAATTGCCAATAAAAATGGCTGTCATACATATATAATCACACTTTTGACAGAAATGGATAAGCAACTTTTAATTTATGTTGAGCATTTTAATTTCAGATCTGCTTTGTTGTTCATAGCACAAACACACTGAAGCTCCAGTAGTTTTTCACTTTCACATAGTGGACCAAAACAAAAACATGTGCTAGTGCTAGTCAGCGGTGAGGGACTGTAGTTAGTCATCGCTACTGATCTAAAACGAGTGAGTACTCGTCCAAACACATGTCTAATATTTTCTTGGCTGTTTTTTACTCTTCTGCAGGGAACGCCTCTTCTAAATTGAACTGTGCTGTTACATGTAGCGGCTTCTCCTGTGTTATCGTTGTTTTTGGGTTTACATCACTGGCACTGTAGGGCAGTTAAAACTGGCATTGTAGGGCATGCTACAACTTTAACAGATCTATAAAATAGTGCTAGTCTTTTTTTTTTTAACACATTAATACTGAAACTCCAAATCAACTGCCCTCTAAAACGGTATAGCAGAATGAGCCTTAGCCTTAGGTTAACATTTTGATCTGATCCTTGAAACATGTGTTTTTGTTCTTTTCAGTGCCCCTACAGTATAATATTCTCATAGTTTGGCCTTGCAGGCATGTATTGTTAAATCATCTTGTGGTCTGTCTGTATTTAGCCCAGGTGATGGTTGTGGCATAATCTCATTATTGGCTTAGAATAGAGTTTGCAGCTTTCACTTGCTAAATGGCACACCCACTGTGGCCACTGCTGCTAAACACATTAACAGAGGGGCTAAGTAACTAAGAGGGGTAACATTTTGTCATAATTCTTCCACTGACTTGATATTGGATTGATCTTTTACACACTTTATACTCATCAGATGCACTGCCAGAAGAAACACTGAGAAAGGTCGTTTCTGTGGGGACAGAGGTCTGTTGGCAATATGCACTGATGCTCTGTAGTACATCATTACCATAGAGAGTGACAGCATTTCCATACAACAAGTTATCAGGACATGTTGGCAGGATACATAATTATTTCTTTTTCTGTTTTCTTACCCTGCGTTGCAGAGGATTTGCAGAGCTCATAGCACTGCTTGCTGGACCAATGAGTGTACTACAACGTTTGACACCTTGAATAGTTTCTCGTGCTGTTTTTGTGTAAACAGAGCATGAGAGTGTAGCCTGTGAGTGCTGAAAGTGTTAAACACACAGTGGTAACAATGGTGCTTTTGCCCACAGGAAGCTCACCTTTAGAGGGACGGACTGTGCATGGAAGACGTGTGTGTGTCACGCAGACGGACGAGACACCAGACCTGACAAAAGGTAACCATCTTAATACAAGTTTACTGTGCTCACAAACCCTGCCCTTCTATTTCAGTAGTCTACTCCCTCCTTTGTTAAGATGCTAGCTTTTTACTGACATACTGTTAATGGGAATTGCATAGCCCATGATTCCAGCCAGTTGAAATTAAAACAAAATATTCTACTGAATCTCTTGAAATATTTGTAATTGGGAAAACAAAAGCTAAAGTGTCATGCTGTAATGGTTGTTTTGATTCTGTGCGATGTCCAGCAAGCCCCTCCCTCGTGACTTGCAGTGGGCCCTGTGCTTATCTGGCCGTGCACTCTCACTCATTTAACAATCTTATGTGCTGCATGTGCTTCAGGCTCTAGCCTTGCCATTCCAAGCCACACCTCCTTTTCCTCATCTGTCAAATATGGACATTTAGAAATTTAATGCAAAGTGCTTCTGTCTGTAACACCATTGTAGGACAGAGGGACGAATAGTCATGGACACATTACCTTAATTAACCCATGTACAAAGTATTGCCTTCACATAATCTAATCTAAAAGTGCTTAAGGTTTGAGATTCAGATAGTGTACTTGTTGAAAGCGGCGTCTGCATTCCTTTCGTCAGACTTTCGCTGTAGTCTACTGTTACATTTGACATCTGTCTCCACTCATCCTCCTGAAAGTTCACATTTGTAACAGGTTTTAGTTGTGTCCACATCTCTGGTCCCTGAGCCTCCCCCGTCCCCCCTTTGTAAGACGAGAACAGCCGCCCTGTGGCTGCCAGCTCCAGGGGACTCTATGAACACTAAGGTTGTGGGCAAAAGTGGAACAGACTGTACTCTGTACTCTGAACAAACCGCTACTTCAGTTGGAGGGATATAAAAGTGAATGGCTTGCTGCATGTGTAGAAATGTAAAGGGAATTTTTTGGCAATATTGAATAAAATATATTTTGAAAAAGTAGGTTAAATGTATAATTTAACAATGTCGAATTACAAAGGGTTTGTTTGGTCACCTATCATGTGGCCTATCGACTCCAGTGGCTGCTGTTTGAACTGAAATTGTATATTTTGGCACAGAGAGCTGAAGCACACAGTAACTGAACACATTTAAAGGCTCCGTGTAGTTAACATTGTTTTTTTACCTTAAATATTACTAAACCTTATAGAATAGTGCAGTATGTCTTTATTGATCCCAGAATAATGTAATGGTATATGTTAATGTTATTTTATTTTGATTTTTTTTTATTTCTAGTGCCAGAGCATACAAAGTCCAGAGAGCCCTGAACTGGAAGCCCACAGCCCTGTTGCACTCCTGACACCTCAGCACACACAAACATTTACACAGGGTTTGGTGGAAGTTGTGAGCGATGCCAAGGAGGCCTGACCAGCCCGCTGCCTGCTCTGCCCAGCTGTGCCCGTTCTCCACAGAGCCCTAAGACCGGCTCCTTATACAGACACCTTTACCTCCTGGTTCTACCCCATACAGGGGCGAGCGCTCGACCAGCACGGAGTCACATTTACAAACCACACTCACAGGTAGTGTACCACAGCTTTTTGAGTTTACTATCATTCACACATTTAAAGCTGTGATTAAGTAAACCATCATAGATTCATATTTCAGTCTTGTTTCCATGTCTCTGCATGTTTCACTAAAATTATATTCTAAATCTTTAATTTTGCATGTTACTTCCTCTTCTAACTGAACCTGTGTGGTCTGTCCTCTCTTATGTACGCTCAGCTCTAAGTCAGTCTGACAGACTTCCCTGTCTCTGTTTTCAGACATGGCTCCCATACGGGACTCCGTCAGCCACTCTCCTAATCAAACAGGTGACTACACAGAGCTTTGTTTAACACACCCCTCTTTCCACCCTCTGTCTCAGACACTGTTGCATTTTGCTAAACAAAGATATGCAAATAAGTTATGGTTGTGCTTCAATTTTTTCCCTTGCTTTCAATTCCTGTCTCTTCCCTGACCTCACGCTCTTCGTACTTCTTTTGTCCCGAAGCTGCAGTTTGTTTTTTTCTGTAAATGTAAACCCTTCTTCACTGTGACTTTATTGTTGCAGGGTTGGAGCATCCAGGCTTGGACTCGCAGTATGAGCCTTCTCCCTGGTCCTCTGGCTCTCCTTGCAGCACTGACAGCAACACCAACTGGAGCAAAGTCCTAGTGGACGGGAGTATTGATAAAGCCAACAGCTCGTCTGACTGGCCTCCCTCTTCCTCCTCATTTTCTTGCTCCTCTTCGTCCTCCTCTTCTGGATGTGGATCGGGGTCAGATCCGGAGCTGGCGTCAGAATGCATGGATGCAGACTGTAGTTCATCAGTGGGCTCAGATAAATGTGCTGATTCTGTGGCCACAGTGAAGATGATGTCAGCAAACACTTCCTCTTCTGTGGTGTGTACTAGCTCTGCTCCTCACCCCTCCTCTGGGACGTCTACCATGATGATCAGCGCCTCAGTCAATGGGGATGCCAATGGAAACAAGCTGGCATCCATTATTGGTGGAAGCAGTGCAAATGATACCATAACCAATAGTATTGGCAGCAATAATCTGGGTAACCACAACAAGCTTCTCAATAATAGTGGTGTATGGGGCAGTCAATCAGACAGTAATCTAATCACAGGTGGAAGTGCCCCATGCATCAATGGGGGGTTAAACCCACATGTGATGAAAATCAATGCCAATCACGGTGCCTGGCCTCAGGGTCGAGCCTCAAGCCCTGCATCACAGGACCAGCGCCCCCCTCAGGCTCCAGGAATCACTTCCAAGCAAAGTATTGCTCCTCAACAAGGCCCTGTGCTAGGATGGGGTGGCATGGCAGCTCCAGGCAACAAGATTGAAGATACTGAGACAAATAATGGTACAGCAAGCACCAAGGTGTTAGGCAGCAGTAGTGGAAATGGTGGTCAGTCTGCCAACCTTAACACTGAATCAAATGGACCAAATAACACTATTAAGATGAATACTACTACTACTACTACAACTACTAACACCATAATGACCTCTACTCAACCAAACTCTATTACATCTTCCCAGTTTATGGGGGATTGTTCCTGGGGTACCATTGGAGTCGGAACTGGGGCTCCGCTGGCCAATGGAAACCTCTCATCAGCCCCCCCGCCAACCCAAGCAGACCTGGGTGGTAAGGGGGCCTTTGGTACGCCTTGGGGTGCATCTACTTACCCTGGAGACAAGGGCCCCCAAAATGTAGACACTGTGAACCTCCAAAATCCCGCCTTAATGCAGGCTGGAAACCCTCAAATCTCCTCTGCTGCTTTTAAGAGTAATAATAACCACAATAACACTGGGGCCCCACGCTGGGACCAGGGACCTTCCAGTAACCCAGCCAACTCTCACAGTACCATGTCCTGGACTGGAGGATCAGCTGAGCACCCGGGGTCTATAGGCCAATCAGGAAGTGGAAACCAAAGTACAATGGGCCCACCCACTGGCATGCCCCGCCCCTGGGGAAGCAGTGCATCATCCTCTTCCTCTTGCTCCTCTTCTTCTTCCATGTCGAAGATGTCCCACGGAGAGTGGGGCTCTGCAACTCCATCCAACCCTCCCTCTGACAACCAGAAAGGAAACTCCAGCAATGGCTGGAAAAGCCTGGAAGACGATGCGATGGGCATGGGAAATGCAGCAGGGGGACATGGCTTAGGAGCTGGCACTGGAGGGTGGGGGCGCTCCGGTGGCAGTGAAGGAAGTGGGGAGAGCTCTGGAGGCAGGTCAAGTTCTGACAGAGATAACAGTTTAAAAGGAGGCAATCGAAGAAAGGGGGCCCAGACAGCAACTCTGATATCGGCTTTGACTCGTTCAAATGTGGATCCAAGGGTGCTGTCTAATGCTGGCTGGGGTCAGACTCCTGTACGACAGAACACTGCCTGGGATGTCAATTCTGCTCCAACTCACCAACAAGTCCCAAGAGAAGAGCAGAAGCATCCTGGTTGGGGAGCCGCACCACCAGCACCCTCGCAGACGTCTGCAGGTATTTTAAGTTACACTCTTTTCTCCCGGCAAATTATCTTGATCTTTCTAACATGATTGTGTTTGTCCACAGGCTGGGGCAATGCAACCCCTGAACCAGGCTGGGGGGAGCAAAGGTCCATGTCCACATGGGAAAACAAAACGTCAGGAAATGGAGGAAGCGGTCAGAGTGGCTGGGATGATGGCTCTAACAGCAGTAACACATGGAACAACAGCATGAACAAAGAAGAGGGGTAATTTTAGCCACAAATCATAACTCCATCTTTTAATCAGTTTGGTAGTTTAGCGCAGAAATAACTTTGAATGCTATATTTTTAGGTCTAACATGTGGAGCAATGCCCCCAAGCCTGTGCAGAGCTGGAATGGCAGTACCGGTGAAAGCTGGGGAAACAATGGAGAAGCTTCGAGGGCAGGGGCCAGTAATCACTGGGGGGATCCTCCAAAAGGAGCTGGCTCTATGGGCTGGGAGAGCGACAGTGACCGCTCTGGCTCTGGGTGCTGGAGTGAGCCAGGTCGAAACAACGCCAGCAGCAGTAACACCTGGGGCGGGAGTGGAGGATCTAACACCCCAGACCACAGCACTCCCAACCCTGGCTCCAACTGGGGTGAACCTGTCCACAAACCCAGTCCTATGAGTAAACATCAAGGCTGGGGAGAACCTATGAAGAACAACTCAAGCACACAGAACTGGGGAGAAACCACCTCCAAACCTCTCAACTCCTCCAACGAGTGGGGCAAGGGTCCAGAATCCAGCACATCTAGAGGGGGCCAAGGCACTAACAAGCCCTCAGGTACTCATCATTTATGAAGCTACTTGTTATATTATTGTTATGTGCTTTTATGTGATCAAACCTTAATTTTCAATCACTACACCTCTTTCATCTGAACTCTACAGGCTGGCTGGGTGGACCAATGCCTGCTGTTGGTCCAAAAGAGGAAATGGCGACAGGGTGGGAAGAGCCCTCTCCAGAATCTGTTCGCAGAAAAATGGAAATTGATGATGGAACGGCTGCATGGGGAGATCCAGGTAACACTCTGAGTGTGTAGTCTGATTACTTCTGCTGTTCACTTGTACACAAACGATATGTAACTGAGAATATGTATGTAGGTAAATACGGTGGTGGATCTGTGAACATGTGGAACAAGCCTGGTCAGACGGATCAAGATGGTCCCTCCACTCCCAACCAGAACCACAGCGCCATGCGCCCTCCACAGCCCATGCAGCCCCAGGAGAAGACCTCTGGGACAGGTATGTGGCTGCTTGACTTTTTATAAACGTAAACTGTATTACTCTTTTGTATCCGTAATAATAATTTGGAATGTGTGCGTGTAAAGACAAGTCCAGTTGAACAGTGTGTTCTTCAAGTGTGGTTATAATAATATACAGAGAATTAGCCATGCAAAACCAGTAGTGCAAAGCTTTAAATTGTTAATTCACAGAGCTTTCAGTGAAATTGAGCCTTTTTTTTTTTTACTTGAGTCAGCAGAGCCCTTACGCAGTCTCATGTGCTAGTAAGGTTTCCCTGGTCACTCAGCCATCAGCGACCCACCTCCACACTAAGTGAAACCTTTTGAACAAGTGCATTTGAAGGGGTGCAGACTTATTGCCATTTGCCTTTTTTGTGATTTGTTTATTTAAATAAAGCTTAGAAAGTAAAGCTGTAATTACATTTGTGTATTTTTTCCCCCTTATTAGGATGGGGTGACCCTTATCCTCCTCAGAAGGAATCTTCCACTTGGGGAGAGCCAGCTCCTCCTGTGCCTGTTAGTGTGGACAATGGCACATCTGCCTGGGGGAAGCCCATGGACACGTCTGGGTGGGAAGACTCTGGTCGAGATGGCAGAGAGGGCTCAGGATGGGGAAGCCAGCAGAAGTCTGGTATGTGGAGGACAGATCCAGAAGCTCAGCTGTCCAATGCGCTTTATTTCTTGATTTAACAAAGCATCTCCTTTCAGGCCCCAAACCCATGGGGACATGGGGAGGAGATGAGAGCAATACCTGGGACCAGGAAGAAGAGGTCGAGATCGGAATGTGGAATGACAGCCAGCAAGACACCCGGTCACATGACCAAAACACCTGGAACTACAAACAGAAAAACTCCAAGGTTAGAACCACAGTACAATATGCAAATACATCCTCCTGATGGTCACTGTAAGAACCTTTTTGGTACTAGTTTAGTAACCAGTCCTTATTTGACATGGGTACAGAGAAGGAACTACAGACCTACAGACACATTTTGGGACTTTTTCCCATTCATTCTCAGTTTACTCCAAAAATGTATTTCTTAATTTGTAAGTAGTAATTAACATTCTGTTCTGTATTTGTTTTTTTGCTTTTTTGAGCTCAACCCACCTGAAATAAATATTGAAATGTTGTATGCCATATAGATAATTTTAAAGCCATAGACTCACTTTCAGCCACTGTCTCTGTGTAAACGTGAGAATGGGAACCTGGGTGATTCTTCTGACTAAATAGGGACTTTGTCATGTTATGTGAAAGGCCTATAGAAACACAACTAATGTACATAATGGTTTGTGTTATAGATGAGTAAACCAGTTCCAAAACAAGACGAACCATGGATGAAGCCCTTTGTCAACCAGTTCAACAGCATGAGTTTCTCTGTGAGTACAAGGGTCTTATTGTGATCTCAGTGACTTGGATGAATGTCCTAATAGTGAGGGTGATATTGCAGAGAGAGTCGTCTGAAGAGCCCATGAAGCCTGGGATGATGCTGGACAAACGCATGGACATGGGCAGCATGGGGGACCTCAATGGAGTCATGGGGAAGAACCTTGGGTCTCGGCATCCGCTTCACAAAGACCCTATGGACCGCAGCCCTTATTTTGACAAGGTATGTCAGAAATGTACATGTATAACAGATTAAAGCAATGTCAAGCTCACTGTGAGAATAGTGCAAGTAGTTCTGTGAGTTGTTTTTCTTGCCCTCTAGTGCCCCTCAGTGGTTGTTCAACACACTACATCAGGGCTTTTCTGCCCAAATCTTATTTAAAGGGACATATGTTTGTGTTTAGTATTTCTTGATGTTGTAGCTACTGCTACTTTGTCTTGAGTCTTTGGCTTTTTTTGCTTGTCTATCTTTTCCTTTTCCAAAGTAACAGTTGGATTTTCTCCTCTCCCTCCTCTCCTTCTATGCTCTCTCGTGGCCTGCTTCTGCTTTGCGCCTGGCTTCTGCAGTTGTCCGTTTCACCATCAGCTTACAATAACTCAGCTTCTGATGAGCTCTCCTCCACCAATCAGTCCATGAGCTTTCCTAACACAAAGTCTGTCCAGTCTGTCTCTGCTCTTGACCCTGTGTCATCTCCTGCCCACTCTATCCCCGCCGCTGTACGCCAGGTGAGTTTAGGAGTTCTCTTAGGATATTTATGTGTTTGTTGTTTTAAAGTGCAATACCCAGTGACTCAATGTCAAGGGTAAACACAGTTTAACTCAAGAATTGGATTTTTAAAAAGTGTTAGATAATTCTGTGTGTGCGACTTTGTGTCTACTTAGAATGTAAAATCCTTGATGGGTGGCAGCAGCGTAGCACAGGGCAGAGGTGGTCCTCACGCCCAGGTTCCTCCTCAACACAGCCTTCGTAACCAAGTGCCTCCACCCATCCTACCCTCTCAGGTAGCACACTACCAGAGAATATTATGGCTGGGTTATATTCATTTGCCTATTTTTAACTGCTTGTTTGATGTTTATGTAGTTTTAAGATATTATATTTTTACTATTTCCACTATTCATATTTAGTTGATGGTCAGGTTGTGTGATCACTGACCACCAGCCTGGCTCAGCCTCACTCCATGTATCTACTGTTTGTATCAGTTTTGATTTCAAACAGGCAATCCCCAGAGCTGTTACAAACAAGCTTATTATTTATCTGCTTTGTTTACATTGAACACATGGAACTTGAAACAATTTCATTGTAGTCCCATAAGACATCTAAATTGTTAAGGAAAAAGTGCTCAGCAGTTTGCGATCTCACATGTGTCAGAGCTATAAGATGAAACGCTTATAATACTAAAACTCTTGACAGAATCCTCTGGGAAAGGCTGGGGGTTTCTACACACCTAGCTCCTTGGCTAGCTAGGCTAGCTGACCACCTTTGGTATTTAAACCTTTGTCTTATGCGTTTAGGTCCCTCCATCTCTGTTGAAGTACCCAGGAGGCAATGGAGGCTTGAACCCATTGCTGGGCCCTCAGCAGGTGGCTATGCTCAACCAGATCTCTCAGTTCAACCAGCTGTCACAGCTTAACCATATCAACCACTTACAGGTAAAGGCAATGTGCAACATCTCCTATTTTCTCTGTGACAGAGATGTGAATTGTATTTGTCCTTTTCTCACCTGTGTGGTCTCTGTGCAGCGCCTCCTTCTCCAGCAACAGCAGCAGCAGCAGCAGCAGCAGAAGGCTCAGACTCAGAGGGCTATGGCTGTGGGACGGCCATCTGAACAGGTCAGCCTTTTATACTATAAAGCTATTTAGACCTGTTTGTCTTGTGGGAGGCTTGGGGCTTGTCCTAGTTTACATCCTCAGAACAAGTGTTTGACATGTGTTCTCTGTGGTTAGGTCCGTCCAATTGGCTCCTCTCCACTGATGATGCAGCCTCCACGACACTTGGATTCCTCTTTTATGAAACAGCCCCCACCAATGAAGCCGTACCTGGACAATTACTTTTCTCACAACAACCCTGACATGCAGAAGGATACGGCTCCTCTTGGACCCTTCGGCAACTTCCCTTTAAGTATGTTTGATCATTTGTGCTCTGTTGTAGGTTTTGAGCAAAAATTATCTAAAAGTGAGAGCGCAAATGCATGTATTTGCTTTTGTGACCTAATTATGTGTATGGTGTCTTTAGGTGTGAACTCAAACCTGAATGTACCCATGGACATGGGTGGTAGTGGATCCCTAAACTACAAAGAGCCGCCCCAGTCCAGACTGAAGAAGCTGTGGGCCACTGACCCTCTGGAGCAGAACAGCAAACCTGGTACAAAGATAATTTAGTGCCTTAAACATATAGTCCAAGATCCTCCTCCTGTCAAATGTCTGAGATTTTAGAGTGCTGTTAGCAGGCTAGAAGTTTTTAGCCTTTCTGTAAGGAAACACAGGTTTTTCTCCCCCGAAAGTTTTTAAACGTTCTAATAAAGTGTAAGGGGGAATGAGTTGCCAAACTACTGTAGCCAATTCAAAATGTTAATGGTCTGATTTAAACTTATTGATATAATATATCAATAATATATAATATTGATATTGATTATTGATGAGTTTGCTAAATTGCGTTTTACTTTTCACCCCATAGGTGCTATGTCTTCTGGGTTGCGTCTGGAAGACTCTCCCTTCTATGACTTCCTGTCCCCTGGCCCTTCTCCACTGAGTCCTCCTGGCCAATCTTTAGGCTCAGTGGGTGATAGCTGGCCCCCTCGTGCCAACTCTCCCCCGCCCCATGGAACCACTGGCACATGGCCACCAGGTAATCAGTATCACAAGGAAAAGAAGAGAGGTGGTTGTCTTTGAGTACTTACAAGATCTGTGATTGTAGAGTTTCGGCCTGGTGAGCCTTGGAAAGGTTACCCAAACATTGACCCTCAGACTGACCCCCATCTGACCCCTGGAAGTGTCATCAACAATCTTTCCATCAACACCGTCCGCGACACAGACCACCTCAGGGACAGGAACAACGGTAGGCCACTAACAATGGCATAACCTGGTCTTTGCTGGAAAGCCCACAAGAAAGGAGCATTTGTGTTTTACAGCCACCACTAAACAGTGTTTTTTCCTTCAGGGCCATCCTCATCACTGAACACCACGATGCCTTCTAATAGTGCCTGGCCATCCATTCGTGCCTCCAGCCACAGCAGCTCCCTCACCAGTACAGCACAAAGCACTTCAGGTTTGTTTCTTTTGACTTTTATTCAACTAGTTTCAATCATTCAGTCGTTGACACACAATTCAAATTAAAGTAAAAAAAATAGCTAAATACAGTCAAAGTAATATGTACAGTATTTTAAATGCACACAGTCTAATCTCCTTTTTACAAAAGCAGTGACCACAATATTTAAGTAAACTTCCTTGAGCTTATCTCAGGACATACTTGAACTTGTACAACATTTCATGTATGTTTTGTACAGTTAATAATAAGAATTATAATACAGCACAAGTTCCTCTCTCAATACTTTTTGGAGTCTTTAAATGTGGCCTGCAAAATTACGTCAATGGAAAGTTGTTAGCACAAAGATATAACAAGTAGTGGTGATGAATCTAATCACCACAGTTGTGCAAGATTTGACCCTTGTAAACATAATAACTACTACAGAATTACTTGGACATGGGCAGCAAATATGACATAATAAATTCCACCAAAAATAACACCTAAAAAACTAAGCAAGATTAAAAAACTAAGCAAGGTTTCTAGTAAAATCTGCCGCACTATAAGATTTTACCTAATTTTTCATAAATGTGTTTTTTTTTTCCTTACAGCCAGACCCGCTGACTCGAAATGGTCTCCTGGTGGTAGTTCTGTGTCCAACACCTCCCTCGCCCATGAGCTGTGGAAGGTGCCCCTGCCTTCTAAAGGACTGTCTGTGGCAGCCCCCTCCAGACCCCCTCCTGGCCTCACCACCCAGAAGCCCAGTTCCAGCTCCTCAGGCTGGGACAGTTCTTCGCTAAGGTTGGGTGGATGGAGCCCCACAGAGTCCAGATTCACTCCTGGTCAGGACCAAACTCTTACGACTTGTCATTCATTTCATCTCCCATTTGAACCCAGTTAATTTAAGTAGTTGTTTTTGCAGGTTCCAGCTGGAGTGACAGCAGCTCAGGGAGAACCCAGTGGCTCGTTCTGAAAAATCTCACACCTCAGGTACCTGCTTGTTATATACTACTTGTGTCGTAGACATATAAGAAACTTTTAAACAATATACTCTTCACGTATGCTAACTTGTTTCACTTTTTTGCTCTGTCATTAGATTGATGGCTCTACCCTGAAGACCTTGTGCATGCAGCATGGCCCATTAGACACATTCCACCTCAATCTGCCACATGGGAACGCCGTGGTCTGTTACCGCTCCAAGGAGGAGGCTGCCAAGGCTCAGAAGAGCTTGCACATGTAAGGTCTTATGTTACACCTGTGAGGGTTGCCTTCATTTAAATCCAAATGTATTTAAAATGTAATGCACATGGGCATTTCCGGTGTATCTACCTTGCAGTTAGATTCAACATTCACTGTATTCCTGCACACTTTTTTCCAGGTGTGTTTTGGGGAACACCACCATCCTGGCTGACATAGCCACAGAGGAGGAAATCAAAGGTTTCTTTGCACAAGGGCAGACACTGGCCACTCCCTCCTCTGGTTGGCAGGCCATTGGCTCCTCTCAGAGCCGAATGGAGCAGTCTCACCCCTTTCCCAGCCGTGCAGTTGAACCAAACCAGTGGAACAGCAGCGATCTCCACAGCACCTCCCTCTGGGGAGGGCCCAATTATTCCAGTGGCCTGTGGGGCAGCGCCTCTGGCACCGAGGCTGGAAGGATGAGCAGTCCTTCTCCAATCAGCTCCTTCCTCCCGGTGGATCACCTCACAGGTGCTGGGGATTCCATGTGAACCATCTGTCAATCAAACCATCTGGGGGAGGGTTAGTACAAAAATCAACTGAAGAAAAGTTCTTAAATGTAGTTCTAAATGCAATGGCACTAGTTGGACTCTTACAAGATATTCAACAAAGCGGGGTTACCCCTGTGGAAAACAAGTTACGTTTCTCTCTGCACATAAGTCCACTTTGTTTTAGCCCAAAAACATATCAGTCAAAATACTTGAATCATGCAGGCCAATTCTATAATGTGAATGGATGGATATTTGCTTCCAGGTAGTGCTCTTTCAGACCGAAAAAAGCTTCAATCGAGCTCATTATTATTAATATTATTATTATATATTTTTGTTTCATTTGTCATGTTTATTACAATTCCAATTCTTTAATTTTAAATTTTCTTTTTGTTTTATTTTTTGCATTCGTTTGCCGACAATGTTGGAGTATGAGCTTTTTAACTTTGCACTGAATGTGTGTGTTTTTTTTTTCTTGGTATATATAATCTGCAATATAGAGGGAGCAGCCAGTTTTTCCAGTGTAGCTGTTTACTCATTGAGGTCCTCACCATATGTATGAACGTATGTGTGCACACAAGTGTGTGTGGAAGTACTTGGTGTGTGTGAGTGTGTGAGTGTGTGAGTGTACGCTCCTCTCTGCCTTGGCACGCCTACCTTACTGCGATGTTGTGGAGTTCAAGATCAACAGATCAGATTATCTGCTGATAGTTTAAGTGACATTAAAAAGTATTGCACCTATCTTGATTTTAAAACTAAAGAACGTCGAGCTCTGCAGTGCAAAGGACTGTAGCCACAGCTGGGACTAGCAAGCCCTGTCTGCCTAATGTAGGAGGCAGGGCCCATCTAGCAAGCCCCTTGGCCGCTAAGTGGCAGGGGGAACAGCACTTTCAGAATAGGCTTTCAATGTTTTGGAGGTGCCACACCGCAACCTCTTGTTTACAAGACTTAGGAGGCGAAAAGTGTGTTCATTCTTCATTTTAATGAAACATAAAATACATAAACTTGTACAAAAATAAATAAAATACAAAGATAAAAAAAAAAACACAAAATATTTAAAAATACAAAAAACATATTGAGGATGAAGACAATGCTTTGTAACTCTGGGAATTCGGATCAGTGTTTTTGGCCATGGCGTTGGTTATTTGAACTATTCCTCTTTGTCTGCTAAAATAACCAGCAGTGGTTCTCAGGAAATTAAGCCAGTTTTCCCCCTTTGTAGTTGAACAAAACTACTACTCCTTGTAGGAAAAGAAAATCCAACTTCTAGCACTGAAAAACCATGTATAGGTCTGTTTTTTCCTTCTGCCAAATAACTGCTTTAAGCTGGAGAAGCTCATCACATGCTTTGAATATGCTGTCTACTGGAGGCTGACCACCTCCGCTCCCCTGATCCAAGAATCACAAGTGGGGAGTGTTTATTGTATGCCTGTGTGACTGTCAGTGGAATTGTTTAGTCTTGTTGGACTTGTAAACCATGAGAAAGGCAAATCTATATCTATGCATACTGTAACCTCTCGTAAAGGCCTATGAGAGGCTTTTTTTTCTCCATATCTCACAATGTTTTAACAATTTCATTAAGTACAACAAAAATGCTTTTTTTATTGCTCTCATTGCCACAAATGTGTTCAGAGAAATGTTAAAGTTAAAAAGTACAAAAAAAAAAAATTGAAGAGGATATTTTAACAGTGCAAAAGTCGTCCACATTTCATTGCCTTGATCCTAACTGTGTCCGAAGATGCAACAAGTCAAGTGGCTTCTACCTGTTTACAAATAGATTATGATTGTATTGTTGTACTGTTTTTTTTTTTTTTTTTTTTTTTTTTTTTTCCTTTTTGGGGGGGAGGGGGGTACTCATCTGAAGTTCCTGAATTGTGTTTTGAATAAGTTCTACTGCTGGAGTGTGTGTGACTTAATGTTGTGAATGTAATCCACTTTTCTTTTTTTTTTCGTGGCAAAAAATACAATTGTGAATACTAGATTTGGTTACTATAATGCACAATTGTGGGAATACCCAAATCGTCAGAGTACATGAACAATATGTCAGCATTAGCAAAGCCATGGACCTTAATTATTTCCACATCTTTGTTAAGTGTGCACATTTCCCTCCCCGTAACAGAAAAATACCCAAGTTTCGATTTCAGAAATACTGCAGCTGTTAGCATTTGTTGTGTTTTGTAAGTTAAATCTTGTAAATTAATTTAAATATGTAGTGAGACAAACCCTTAAGTATTAGCCAGATTTGACATTGGTGCGTGCCAGTATTGAACTGCTCTCTACCAAATACTTCAATCATACAGAATGAATAGTTTACTTAATTCCAGATTTCTTTTGCTTAAACTATATATTTGTGTAATGTTTTGTCTTGTTTTAACTAATGTTGTCAAGTGGAACAGTCAAACTTTTTTTTTTTTTTTTTTTGAGTAACTTAGTTGACAAATAGAACTGAGGAGCCTTGGATTTTTGCACTTGGTTGGATGGATGGTTGGATGGACAGCGTAATGAGTTTCCAGGAGGGTTGCAAGTTGTGCGTTTGTGCGATTGTGTGAGTGCGTGTGTGTGTTGTGACAGGGTAAAGCGTGTCCATTGACAGTGTTTTCCATGACTGTGAGATGTAGTTGGTGCTCAGTTGGTCCCATTTTAGGTTTACTTCCTGTTTACGGACCGGCCAGTCAGCAGTGACCTTGTGCTTGAACCAGGTCAGAATGTAGCTGCAAACGGTTAATCGATTTTACTTAGCCTTGATCAGCCTCAGTATAAGAAGAAAAAAAAAACATTAGATAAAGCAACTACTGCTGAATGTTGCAATTTTAAGTATTCAACTACTGTATTATGCCAGATTGCTTGTGGCCTGAGCGTGACTGAATAAGGGGATGGTTGCTGTTGACTCGCAGGTTTTTTTTTTTTTTTTTTTAAGGTGATTGGCTGCTTTATCCTGGCTTTTCAGGGACTTACACTAGTTTGCTAGCTTCAGGCCTCCTTTTCCAAAACCCTAAGCTAACTACTGAAGAGGAGCCGAAAAACTGACAGGGTTAAGTTCACCTGTAAAGTCAATATTCCTCTTCAGCGCTCACTTAAATAATAGTTCACTTTATTCGTTGGGGTTCTGGCAGTACATATCTTAAGGCACAGATCTGGGTGCCTGTTTTGGCCTCATTCTTAGAAGCATTAGTGGGCTGACAGTGCCCAGGCCAGGCGCTCAGGAGGCAGTGTTGGTCTTGTGTAGGAGAAGGGACAAAGACATCGAACACACCTGTGAGACACTTTGATGTTACTGTTCATGTTCCCAGGATGTTTGTTTTCTCCAATCTACTTTGTGTGTGTTTGTGGAAGAATCAGCTGTGTGTGTGTGTGCGTTTGTGTGAATGCGGAACATATGCCAAATCAAGGAGTGAAGGTGACAGGGAAGGAAAGGGATTGCGTTTTTCCTTGTTGTTTATGTGCGTGTTTCTGTATTTAAAAAGCTGGACAATGCTAATGCTTGAAGAAATATGTAATTTGCGAAAGGATGGTGAGAGAAAAACCACCATGAGCAATGTACAATCCCCAGGGCTGCCAAGCAGCTTCCCGCCAGGGCCAGAAGAGGGGAGGCAGGAGGGTACAGGGAAGCTGACTGGTGACACTCTACTACTTTGAATATTTAAGAAAAATGTGACTTTTTCCTCTAAACTTTCCTGTGAGCATATTGTATCATTACTTGTACACCTGACTGCTCCTACTGTTGAACAAAAGTGCTAAGGCTTTTTTTTACTTTACACACAAAAAGAAAAAAAAAAATCACAAAACCACAAAAATAATAGAAAAACTGTGATAATCTGCTGTTTTTAATTTCACATTTAGTGTATATATACACACAAACCCTGAAAAGCTTTAGTCTAACCAGCACAAAGATTTGGGTGGTGTGGGTGGGACTTTGGGGTGGTAAAGATGGGGGTGGGGTTGCTCAGAGAGACTATGCAGTGGAGTGTTAAACCCAAGATTCCATATCTACCTTGGGTTTTGCTTTCTTGTCTCAAAATATTTCCCCATAAATTTGAGAAAGCAGTTGGAAATCCCAACAATATTCCTCAAACATGTGCCATTATTGAATCGTGCTACTAGTACCACAACTAATAATGAAAAACCTTTATTACTTAGCAGCCATTGGGCCAGTTGTAGCAGAGGTGAAGGAGAGGTTAGGTTTATTTCTTTACTTTCACAGCTTGTCTTCTCCATGTCGAGAGGAATGAGGCCGGTGAAACTGCAGATTTTACACAAGTACACTTTTATAGAGATTCTATTAACTCTGTGTGTAGTTTGATCACCTGTAAACCTATTATGCACATAGCTTTGGGAGACTGTTGAAACTATATAATATATATGAATATAAACATATGTCTATAATCCATGAAAGGAAGTTTTTCCTGTAAACGGAAACACTTTTTTTTAATTTTCAAATGTCTTCCTGGGGTCATCATCGGATTTTATCTTAAACTTTAGGGGAACTGCACTTTTTGAAGGACAATCTTATTTGTATGGGTATAAATTTGACAAATTAAGAAGTGACATATTACAAGGTATAGAAAACCAACTCCAGTGTGCTCCAATAATGAATGTCTACTCTGATGCTGTCTGTATGTGTTTGGTTCATTTAACTTTTTATTCTTTTGTTGCTTGGTTTGTTCTGTATTTTTCTTTTCTGATTTTAGTGCTCTTAAGAGAATCTGTACTAAGGTGTAGACTAGTAGGTTGTAGGTCTTCTGTTGACTGTACTCTGTACACTGATTACTGTTTGTAACCCTCTGGCTCCCACAGCCAGCATACAAAGCTGTATAACCTGGGTACAACCCTCAATAAAAGACTAACAATTATACAAACCGGTCTGTCAATCACTGTTGTACATCACTCTCTAAATATCTTTACAGATCAATTAGCTTAACATCTGAGTTGGTATTTTTTAACAATGAACTTGCACAGTGCAGCTTTCTGATGGTGGGTCGGCCACCTGCTTCTGTCCACATAGAAGTTATTGCTTTGCTGGGAATATTTCACAATATAGCATTAAACTTACCATGGAGACAAGCAGGTGCTGCCACCTGGTCTTTCAAGAAGCTCACAGTAAGAATCCTAGTTATTGCTTAAATACAAAACCTGTAATTAAACAATGCATGTAAGTGTTTTTCACATTAACATTCTGGGCAGAGCAAGAAAATCTAGAAGCTCGTGGTGGATGCCCCACCAGGAAAGTATAAAAATTGTTGTGCCTTTAACTGGTACAAGGATTAAAGTAAAGTTCAAGCAAAAATATCTACAATAAATACAACAGTGAAACCATGGGGTACTTTATTGATCAGTTTGTGAAATAACATCTGAAATATCAAGCTTCACAGACTCTTTTGAAGCACATGTCATTTAAATACGCAGCTTCAACAGCTGACACAAGTGGTGATGCATGGGACGCGTCGCAGAGATGTGAGAAAAAGTTCAGTTCACTTCATAAGTACTTGTCTCTATGCTGAATCACAATAGAAGTCTCCCCTAAAAGATGAATACAAATTTGTACTATTAAAAGATAAACATATGACTTAATAGCAGAACCACAAAACAAGACTTGCCTCTTGAAACAATATAAACATTATTCATAAATGTCCTTTTTGTCTGCAATATATTGTACAATTTCCTCAGGAGTCATCAATTTCTCTGCTTCCGCATCTGGAATCTCAAACCCTAAAAGTAAAAAGAATGATAAAACTTGTCACGTGCTGGCAAACATCTTAACGTAGTATAGTTATTAATTTACCAAACTCATCTTCCATCGCCATGATGATCTCAACCTGATCCAGACTGTCCAGACCCAGGTCTTTCATGAAGTGGGAAGATGCCTTTAGCTGAAAGACAAAATTCAAACTTCAGCAGCTTATACAAACTATACTGAATGTTTTTGTTTTGTTCGTTTTGTTTTTTTTAAATAAACTGCACGTTTCAAAAATATTTTACTAATTAGATTTGATTTAATCTGACATTTGAGTATAAATAGGTATAAAACAAAAAAATGGAAGTCAAATGTATGTAGACTCCAGATGTGGCATGTCAGACATGCTACTAGTGAAGTCAGCTAGTGAAAACATTGAGACCAGGATGCTGAAATGTGCCTACAGGACCAAAAGAGTGATTTATGGATCTAGGATCTAGTAAGAGAGGATGCAAATTATTAGCCAAGGCAACCCCTCAAAGGGGAATAGTAGAAAGGATGAGAACAATAGTGTATTACAGCTCTAAATTGGAAATTTTACATTTTCTCTTACCTTCTCTGGGTTGATCTTGTCATAGAGTTTGAGCACATACAAAACCCTGTCTCTTATGCTCTCAAAGGTAAGAGGAGGTAGGTCCCCATACCGTCTGCAGGACACACTCAGTGAGGAGATCTATGGAAAGGAAGGTATAGTTAGAGAACAAACATATGAACAAAGGTACAACACTGTATTGGTATGTCACTCACTATACATATGTTCATGTGCAAAACTGAACTAGTCACATGGGCGCATGTCCACTATGCAATATTTGCTACAGAGGTGAGAATACTATGCGTAAAAGACTGCACCAAGTCCTTATTTTGCAAGTCTCAAGCCTTTGACCTCAAGTCCAAGTGAAGTCCCAAGTCAATGGCCAACAAGTCTAAGTCTAATGTTTTGAGTTTCATGTCCTTTCTAGTATTTTTATTATTTTATAGGATTTTGATCCATAGTGTGTCTTACAAATAAAGTGGGTAGGAGCATTTTACAGTTTGTTCAGGTAAAAAGAGAAAACCAATTTATAAATGCATTTATTTTCTTGAGAAGCATCAAGTCGTCTCAAGTCACAGGGCTCCAAGTCAAGCTCAGAGCAATTGGCATTCAAGTCCAAGTCGAGTGCCAAGTCGTGGGACATTTTATAAAGTCAAATCTCAAGTCTTCAAAATAATGATTTAAGTCCAACACACGAGCAGTAAGTTTCCACCGATGCCATGTGTGACAAAACTACCATGTCTCAGTGCAGATGTGAACTCAGTCAAACTTTGCTAGCAAGCTAAGCACCACCATAAACACGAAATGCCTTTGAAACCTCGAATCAAAACGCGTTTCATTCACTAGAGACAAAATATGAGACGTGCACAGTGTCTTCGCCTCTAAAGTGATGGG